TCACAACAACCTAACAATTATGAGACAACTCAAGCTATGGGCGAAGAATCGCCGTTTTTCACTTCGAATCCATTTGAAGTGCTTTCAAATATAAATAACGAACAAATGGAAGCAGCATCCACCCCCAGAGAACCTAAACCCCCACCAATATTTGTTAGAAATATTAAAAATTTTCAATTGATGTGTCATCAATTGAATAATCTAGTAGGTTCAGGAAAATATTTATGCCAAAGCCGCACCAATGACACTAAATTAATGCCCGACACTCCAGAAACTTACAGAAAAATTATAAAATATTTATCTGACACCAAGGCTGATTACCACACGTATCAACTGCGTCAAGAGAGGGCGCTCAGGGTCGTTATCAGAAGACTGCACCCATCTACGCCAACAGATGCTATAAAAGAAGAGCTCATGGGTATGGGATTCCATGTTCGCCAGATAGTGAACATATTCAAGGAGGATAAAGAACAGCCTGGAATAAAAAATAAAATACCTCTTCCACTATTCTTCGTTGACCTTGACCGAACACCCGATGTCGAAAACATCTACAAGGTCACACGCCTTTATTATACAAGCGTTGTTGTAGAAAAGCCCTACAGCAAGCGCGACATCGTTCAATGCCATAACTGCCAGGCTTATGGCCATACGAAACGGTATTGTCATCACATTCCTAGATGTGTGAGGTGTGGTGAGCAACACAAAACAGAGGACTGTAGGAAGTCAAGAACTTCACCTGCAGTATGCGCTTTATGCCACCAAGGACACCCAGCCAACTACAAGGGTTGTCAAACATACAAAAATTTAAAAACACGAATGTACTCAACGCATAGAGAAGAAGGGACATCCAGGCCACCAGGACAACCCTCTAGAACAGTGAACGGAAGAGTGTCCTATGCTCAGATGTTCAAAGGAGACACTGTAAACACTCAATCTCAGGCCCTGCCACAAGAACCTAAACCTCAAGACCCATATCCCTCCATCCCCGAACGTAGGTTAAATACTCATACATTCATTCCTCCTCCTTCCCATTCCACTGACCTCACAAGCCTACTGACATCTTTCCTTTCCGAATTTAGATCTCTCATTACCCCTCTTATTTCGCTACTTACCAATGTTATATCCAACCTCATTCCACTGCCAAGAAATCCATAAATGTCCTCAACCAAATTCCTCTCCATTCTCCTTTGGAATGCGAATGGTATTCGGAACCACATCAACGAACTGACAATCTTATTACATGACAAAAACATCGACATAGCACTAATAACTGAAACTCGACTAACCAACAAACGACAAATCAACGTTCCCGGCTACAATATTTATCGAACCGACCATCCTGATGGAACAGCACATGGTGGCACTGCCATAATTATCCATAGATCCGTTTCCCATCATTTGTTTCCCTTACCAAGCCATAATTTCCTACAACGCACAGCCGTAATAATCCAAACACCCCTTTACCCAATAACACTAGTTGCGGCATATTCCCCGCCTAAAACACCCATTTCCGAATCCTAAATAATTTCCTTCCTGAAATCCTTAGGACACCACTTCCTCCTAGGTGCAGATCTAAATGCAAAACACAAATGGGCAGTCAGAAAACAAAAAGCAATGGGGAGCCAGATCCACTAATTCCCGAGGGCGAACATTGCTATCTGCACTTAATTCCCATCGCAGCAACATACTTTCACCTAATACTCCCACATACTGGCAAACTGATCCCAACAGCAATCCCGACCTTTTAGACTTTTTCCTACACAAAGGTCTAGGATCACTACACTGCTCCATTTCAAGGTTTGATGATCTTTCCTCAGACCATAGTCCTCTAGTCCTAACCGTTTCCACATCTCCCATTCCCAAATCATCCCCACCTTCATTTATCAGGGGGCCAGTTAACTGGAACCTTTTCCGTCAAATACTGGAAGATAATATAGACCTCAGAGTTTCCTTAAAAACACCTGAAGACCTCGACGATGCAGTGCATTCCTTCACTACCCTGATCCAGCAAGCAGCTTGGACTGCATCCTCACCTGATCGTCCCAAAAACTACCACAACATAAATCCTTTACCTCAAGACCTACTGGACCTTATCCATAGCAAACGTTGCTCTAGGACCGTTTGGCAAAGAACCAGGCATCCTGATGACCGGATATCGTATAATTATTATTCCAAACAGGTAAAAAAGAAACTGGATACCTTTAGAACCCAATCCTACAATTCCTACCTCTCCTCATTATCCGCTAGTGATAACTCCCTCTGGAATGTAACCAAAAAAATCCTTAAATTCCAGTCCATTTCCCATCCACTTCGCCGTGATGATGGTTCCTGGGCTTCGTCAGATGCGAATAGAGCAGAAGAGTTTGCTAAACATCTATCCTACACATTCACCCCTCATCCCGAACTCCATCCCACCCACACTGCTGAAGTTAAAGAATTCCTCTCTTCACCAATTCCTCTCTCTCTCTACCTCCAAAACCTGTTAACCCCTCTGAGGTCAAATTCCTTATAAACAAATTAAAACCCCGAAAATCCCGTGGATATGATCTTCTCACTTCACAAAACCTCAGACAACTTCCCAAAAAAGCAATCATATTCCTTACCTATCTATACAACTGCATCCTCCGCACAACCAACTTTCCCTTGGTGTGGAAACACTCCATAATCATCCTGTTTCCTAAACCAGGTAAACCTGTTAATAACACATCATTCTATAGACCGATAAGCTTACTTCCGATCCTCTCAAAAATCTTTGAGAAAATCCTTCTCAAACGCATCCTACCCATACTCGAATCCCACAACATCCCTTCTCATCAGTTTGGATTCCGCTCAAGACATTCCACTGTCCAACAAGGCCTTCGTGTTGTGGACCATATATCCTCTGCTCTTGAAAACAAGCATTATTGCACTGGTGCCTTTCTGGACGTAGCGCAAGCTTTCGACCGGGTATGGCACGATGGCTTGCTTTTCAAGCTCAAAACCTATTTACCGCAATCCTTATACCTAGTCATCAAATCCTACCTCTCAAATCGTTCCTTTCAAGTCCTTTGTGACACCGAATTCTCCACTTACTATCCAGTTGAGGCTGGTGTTCCACAAGGCAGTGTCTTGGGCCCAGTTCTCTACATCCTCTTCACTTCCGATATACCTTCAAATCCCCATACATTTCTAGCTACATTTGCTGATGATACTGCCATTCTATCCTCCCACTCAGATCCTCAAATAGCATCTCTAAACCTACAATCTCACCTCTTTCAGTCTCCACTGGCTTCTAATACTATTGATGCGGCTGGAAAAGTGGCACTGGGATCTCCTGGAGTCTTGCTTTGCCTTCCACATGTGGGGGGGGGAAAGCCTGGCTAGGAGATTCCTGGGCGAATGTATATATTGTATATAGGTATGATTGTGTTTTGAAGTTTCTATTTTATGTTATTTGTTTACTTTTTTTTTCTTTTATTTACTTTATTCATCGGTATTATTTATTTAATTTTTATATTTATATTTATTTCTCTATTATGTGTATATATTGTGTGAATGAGAACTCTTAGCCCTAATACTTATAGCCCTCCAGCAGTGGCTGATTGTATTATTATTCAATAAATAGATTTAAAAAAAAAAAAAAAATACAAGCAGAAGTATTTGAAGCCTTCAAAGTTCGAATAGCTTATAGCACGAAGACGGACTATCACCGATGTTGTTCAACTGGAGAAGGCAATAAGAACAATATCACAGGAAAATGGAGGGGTCCACGTCAGAATGAATCATAAAATCCTCCTCTTTCAAAGGTATTGAAATCTCGGAAAAACTCAAGAAGTTTCAAATTAAGGGTGAACAATGCTATAATAAAGCCAGTTCTAATATTCAGATAAATACATGATTTATAATCGCCACTTGATCTAAATGAATTTTGTCCTCCTAGATCAGCCCCATTGTGTGACGGCCATAGAAATGAACGAACCGTTGCTACGTCAACCCTCTGGAACTCCAGTCCTTCCTCAGCGACTAGACGTAGGTTTTTGTATGAACATTCATATATCATACAAAATACTGTAAACATGCAGCAACGAGTCAACATTAAAAAAATATATAACTCGTGCAAGAAGTAAAGGGCTGAGTTATATTTTCTATTGACGAAGTCTACGGGCTTAAAAGCTTAAACCCTACAACCCCTTTTTACCAAAGACTACAATCCATAACATAACACTGTTAAGGGAGAAGTTAGTATAAGGTATTTATGTTATGTATCCATAAGATAATGAACCTATAAACTATGAAACAGTATACACTAAGTATAAACATTATAAGCTATGATCCTATGAAACAGTATATTTCTTTCTTTTTTTTTTTGTAATATTTAAACTAATAGCTTATAGTATAGTAATAACTTTACTGTAATAGTATAGTAATAGTAATAAATTTACTAATATTTAAACTTTAAAGCTTGATAAAATGAAACAAATTAATATAAAATAATTTTTTTATTATTACTTTCTTTATTGAATATTAATACATTCTGCCACTATATAAAATAATAGACAACAAATTAACGCTGCGAGCGTTTACGGTATACTTTAAAGATAACTGAAACTTTGCATTATTTGTGCCGATTTCCTGTTAAATATTTGTGGTGGTAGTCTGTAGTGAGAATTTGTTTTGATTTATAAAGCATAATAAAAATACACTATATGATAACAAAGTATGAGTTATAATTTGATTAGGTTTAAAGAACCATGGCCATATCCTTTCCACCGTGAAAACAATATAAAACAAATTAGCAGTAAACATAAATAACACATTTATAATAAATCAATTAACATCGACACGTTGTTAATTAGTATTTAAACATTCCAAAAGAAATTGTTTAAGAAATAAAGATTGATCTCTTACCCTTAAATTAATTGTAACTTTTAAATAATTGTCCCTCTTTATGGCTACAAGCTTATAAATAACTTTATTATTTAAGGAATATATTTTATTAATTATATTTAAATTTTTTACAGAAATATTTGCAACTAAAAAAGGAACTTTGTACGCCCGAAACCAAGCGATCAAAAAGGAACATTTACGGTGGCTTCGGAGCAATCATGGATACGACTTCTCAGGGTTCGTATATTTCCTATTCTAGAATATTAGAATAAAATGAATATAAAACATCTATAAGATTTGGTGATGATGATAATATCGATACTATTATCAAATTTTTAGTATTAGTTACATGTAAACTGTACTAAATTAACTGGTTTCAGCTATGGATTAAATATCACAGTGGAATTATATGAAATATTTATCTCGATTTTGACACTTTTTACTTGAATTAATTGATATTTTCATCATAACAAGGCACAAGATATATATTGCTGTCTGAATTTACATTTATATCTTCTTCTTCGTTTAAAAGTTTACAATGGTTGAAAATTATTTAATGAATATTAGTTTATAATAATTGTAAGTATTATATATATTGGGTTGTCCAGAAAATAATGCAATGCTTTGATTTGAAAAAAAAAGAAAGAAAGATTTACAACTGTTAATCAGAATAGTCTCCACTACTATCGGAATACAAATATATAATAATAATAACATACATTCCCTCGGAATAGAATTTCCCATCTTTAGAATTAATAAACTCCAAAACGCATTTTCTAATTCCCTTAGTCCATTAATAGGTAATTATTTACAAACGGTGCTCCAACGGCCATCATGGCTGAAGTGATGTTATGGGTTCTGTTCTGATAACGTTTACAAAACACACCACCAGGAAGCGCCACTATTGCGGAGGGGTTGTCTTGTCCCCTCCACCTTACCTCTGTTTTCAGTAAATATAGAAATTAAATGGTTATATATTACCCGCTTTTTTTAAATTTAGCATTCCTTACCCACTATTAAATAAACATCGATTGAACACAATTTCCATCTTATCCACATAAAATGTTTATGCTTATACTTTTTATATATCCACATAATATATTTATGCTTATAATTTTTAGATATATTCTGTCACATTTTCAGTCTAATGTGCAGCATACTGTCTTAAACAATTTGTTTCATTGAAAGAACTTCATTAACTTAAATTTTGTTTTAATTGTGACACTTTATCAAAATTTTTAAATATTTGATGGTTGACCATTGTATATTTTAGATATTTGGATTGTATATATTCAATTTTTAAATACTTTATGGTTGACCATGCTATTTTTTAGATTGTATATACTAAAAAATTTTTAAATATTTGATGGTTGACCATTGTATATTTTAGATATTTGGATTGTATATATTCAATTTTTAAATACTTTATGGTTGACCATGCTATTTTTTAGATTGTATATACTAAAAAAATTACAATTTTCTATAAGGGTTTTAATGCTGGATAAGGGTTATGTTTTTCATTTATATGTTACTTAAATCTTCTAGCAATAAAACACATTTTCAGTCTACTGAGGTACATACTGGCATTACCAGATTCTAAGGGAAATGTTTTAGGATCATGTAGGAGAGCTCTAGCGATTCATTTAATTTAAAATAATCAAAGAACAAAACACTACTGACATTCCTTTAAATCTGAACTTATCAGAAACATTACAAGTTCTTAGCGATTGGTCCCTTGTACATTCCCCTTGAAACCGCACATTTTCTACATAATTAATATCTTAGCAACCTGTAAGTATATACAAAACGCAATACTCCAAGAGGTATTTAGTTAAGGAGTAATCTTTTTCAAGCCTGTAAGATTTATAACGGATGCTTTAAATATATTTTTACCTATGCATCTCAATTATTCACATTTGGTTATTATAATTCCTAAATTTTCTTAATCTCCAAACCAATTTAAATTATCTGACCAGTTATCCCTAGCCATTTCCATTGCTGTCTCCTTATATTATCTGTATCTACTTTTATATTGTATTGTCTCATTAATTTTTCTGAATCCTGTCAGAATGAGATATTAGGCAAGAAAGTGTAAGTTATCTTCATCATGTGTATTCCGCCAGACGTAACTCTTTACCTTCTTCTTCATAAAATGTAAAATGTCCCTTAGTTATATAAATGAAGTATAGACCTATGAAAGATTTAGGTTTTATATCACCTCATGTTATGGCTTCCAGCCTCAAACTTTCCTGACATTCTTTAATGAGTTTATTAATTTCTTCTTAAGGTTTCCCTATGTTTTTCAAGACTGTAAATAATTTAACTGTCGAGAATGACTTATTGTTCAAATAAGGATAAATTACCACTAGTAACGATCAAATTGACCAAGGAAAAGTAACCTAGAATACCTTATTCTTTTGTGCAAACAAATATATTTATTTTATACAAACGGTTCTTCGTGAATAAAATATTCAATTAAAAATATCTCATTAACACACAAGACACTTCCTTTGGAAGAAAAAAATTTAAATGCACTTTATAAATAAGTACAACATAATTTACTAAGAACCAATATTTATAGCCATAATCGGATAATTTAAATTGGTTTGGAGATTAAGAAAATTTAGGAATTATAATAACCAAATGTGAATAATTGAGATGCATAGGTAAAAATATATTTAAAGCATCTGTTATAAATCTTACAGGCATGAAAAAGATTACTCCTTAACTAAATACCTCTTGGAGTATTGCGTTTTGTATAAACTTACAGGTTGCTAAGATACTTGTCTATCATACAGATACGATGATTGGCATAGTTAATTATGTAGAAAATGTGCAGTTTCAAGGGGAATGTACAATTGACCAATCGCTAAGAACTTGTAATGTTGCTGACAAGTTCAGATTTAAAGGAATGCCAGTAGTGTTTTGTTCTTTGATTATTTTAAATTAAATTAATCGCTAGAGCTCTCCTACATGATCCTGAAACTGAAACATTTTCCTTATAATCTGGTAATGCCAGTATGTACCTCAGTAGACTGAAAATGTGTTTTATTGCTAGAAGATTTAAGTAACATATAATTGAAAAAACATAACCCTTATCCACCATCAAACCCTTATAGGAAATTGTTTAATTCTTCCTGAATTGTATTAATATTGGGCATAGGTAATGTACAATTACAGATAAAGTGTCACTATTAAAACAAAACTTAAGTTAATAAAGTTCTTTAAGCTTAAGTTCTTTAATTTATAATAAGGAAAGCGAAAATAATTAATAATGATGAATCTCAAAGTTAAAAAAAACAAAGACGGGCAATATATAAACACTATAATCATAAATAATATTATCATTTATTTTTGCCTTCTTTTTTGACTGACCACCTCAACTATTCTTCTCTTCATTATCCACGACAGTCTACCATTTACCAATTATAAATAATATTAGTAATACATAAAGGGAAAATAAATTGATGTAGGTAATATGTGTCTATAATAGCATCTAAAATATAAAGTTTGGTTAATCGATATATTGAAGATACAAAGAAATCGACAAGTTAAAAAAAAAATGGTGGGTACTATATATTGTAAAGGTTACAATACAAAATTACATTTGGTAATTATTTGTAATGAACGTAAGGTGGAGGGGACAAGACAACCCCTCCGCAATAGTGGCGCTTCCTGGTGGTGTGTTTTGTAAACGTTATCAGAACACATCCCATAACATCACTTTAGCCAAGATGGCCGGTGGAGCACCGTTTGTAAATAATTACCCATTAATATTTCGTCACGTAAGTAGTGGTCCAGGTGTATAAAAAAATGATAATCCGTAAGCGAGAGATTCAGAGAGTAAGGCGGATGTGGCACGTGAGACATGTAGCCGGGCGTTGCCATGCAACAAAATGGGCCCCTTCTGATTGACCAAAGATGGCTACGTTATTGCCAATTTCTGATGCATTGCATTAATTTGGTTAAAATACGATTTGGCATTGATGGTTTCTCCTGGATTTAAGAAGCTGAAGAGTATCAAACCAAATGAAGGTGACCAAACAGTAACCATCACCTTTTATTTATGAATTGGGAACTTTGGAGAACGTTTTGCTGTTTCTTCTTTGTCGCGCCACTGTCCAGAACGTCCACTGTTATCGTAAAGTATCCACATTTCATCACAACTAACAATTCTGGAGAGAAATGGGTCGTTTTTGTTTTGGCAAAGAAGTGTAGCACAAATTTCATAACGCAGGGTTTTTTGGCAGTCGTTTAAAACGTTAGCTGCGGTTTCGATTCCCGTGGTCCGATATTCGTCTCGACTGCCGAACGGCCGGAATTGTTTCGAATTTCGCCTATCTTAGGAATTCTCTAAAATGATCATTTTTAAAAATATTTGAATGGGAGTGTGATAGATGTAAAGATACAAACGTAAATAATCATTATATTTTATATAAAACTGTAAGAAGCCGAGGATCGATACAGTACCAGACTGATAAAAAATGATTTCGCTACGGTATCATCCCCTGGCGTCCGATACATATTCCTGCCGTGGCAGGACATTGCACATGCATGGTGATTCAGATAATGTTTTGAACGTCGGCGGGCAATTCTTCATCAAGAAAAACGCTCAATTACAAAGTTCTCGCTGATGAACTCGCAACTCAGCGCCGACCACCGTCATCACGTCTAATGCGTCATGTACATTATTTTATTAAGGCTTCAGGTGAAGGAAGAAAACAGCGAAAGTAGTGCAGAGAACGCGACAGAGAACTGAGAAAGACCCTGGAAAGTAATGAGACAAATAAGAAAACACGGAAAGTTACTAGTTTCTGTGAAGACTATGATGGTACACCCGGATTCTGGTTCACTCACTTCAAACATTATGATAACTAGTTCCCTACTTAATGCTTCACTTTCATTTTCTTAAAATAAATTCCAAAATCCTTCCACGAACTTCTTTTTTTCCCATCAAAGCCCGCAGAACATCGTCATCAAGAGAGGAAGTCCCTCCACGAACTTTGTATTCAAGGCTGAACTCTCCTTTCCGAAATTATTTGAACCACCGTCGAACAGTGCACTCATTAATGCTGCTCTCGTCTCAGACTTTATTGATGCCTCTGGCCGTCTGGGCCCCATTCCGGTCGTGTTTAAACTCGTAAAATAAAATTATATGAAAATCAGTTGTTGACATATAAATAAAGACTGAATTATTTCCGATATTATTTTAGTGAAATGCTTCAGACGTAAACAAA